ATGGAGACTATAGGTAGGCCCCAAAATCCTACACCGGGAGAGTCGAGGAGACCGGAAATTCAAGAACCTGAGCCGGGAAGCCGTGGGTTTCAGGATCAAAGCTCGTAGTTCAGGGCTTTGGGCTTTGGGGGGGGGGGGGTTTAGGGGTTTACCTAAACCCCGAAAAGTAGGTAAAATAATGGCCCAACGCCTATAAAAGGCCATTATTCTACATACTTTAGGGTCCAGGTAGGGTGTAGGGTTCAGAATCTAAACCCTAAACCCTAAACCCTAAACCCATGTAGGGCTTGGGGTTTTGGGTTCTAGGCTCCAGAGACTCCAATGTTTGCTCAGGCTGTAGGCTGAAGTTCTTGGGCAAAGACATTCACCTGTACTGCCCGGATTTAGCGGTTTAGGGTTTGGTGTGTAACGGTTTAGGGTTTTGACAGACTTGGGGATCGAACGTTAAGGGTTTAAGGGGCTTGACGGTTTAGCTTCAGGGACCAAGCTAGTCGCATCTGGCATCGAGTTGTACAGCGGCTTGGTGTTTTTGTAGGAAACCCGCAGAGTACGTCGCTCTCACAAGAAGGATCCTAACTCGGAGAGCCGCCCCCAAAGTCTACACCCTTAAACCCGAAGCCCTTACGTGCTTAAACCCGTCCATGACCCTGGGGCCGGATGTGAGAGAGCTTGGCCTTGAACCCCTATGAAGGGCCCTTGTTGGTCAGGGTAGGGTTTTGATTTTCGGTATATTTATAAAATATTCGGACTGTGCGGTATTCGGACTGTGCGGAGATACTGTATGGTATCCGAACTATATGTGGCGACCTGTAGACTAAACCTTTCATGTGTTAGGTGTTGGGTTGAGGGCCTGAGAATATGGCAGAACGCAAAGCAGAGAATCCGGGATGCCAAAGATCAATTGTGTTGAACCCTAAACCCTAAACCCCGTGGAAAATCCGCGAGTGGTCAAGGTTGTTGTTTGAAATGTGACCGACGATGCAATGCCTGCAATCCCTGGAATGCTCGAAGCCCTCAACTCTACATCCTGTCTACCCAAGGCTCTATAAGTAAGCACCCTAAGCCCAAATCTCACATCCTGACCCTAAATCCACTTCGTTGATAAGAAGGCTTTAGGTACTTTCAAAGAGGATTCGGGGTTGCCTACAACAAAGTTACTACTTCCCTGAGATAACCCCAAGCCCTAAACCCTAAACCCCTAAACCCTAAACCCCTAAACCCTAAACCCCAAACCCCTAAACCCAAAGCCCTAGACCCTAAACCCTAAGCGCTATGAACCCCAAAGCACACTTTGCTCAAAGCCCCGTTCTGCAGCTCCCGGCTAAGGGCTCCCGGACTTCCCGACATAGCGAACAAGTCAAGAAATGCACACCGCGACCGCTCGACGTAGAAACAGGGAAACCCCGGAGTGCGAGGCCATACCATTTTTACATTCGGTTCCTTGTAATACTACTTAGTAACTTGCAATGGTGGTATAGTTAAGGATTGTTCATGTAAGCAATGTATCCTCCTCTTCAGCAAAGCATCATCGAAAGGTTCGCATTGGCAGCAGTTGTGCTGGCCGGGTTTCAGCTCATGACTTGAAAAGCGGTGCCCCTGTCTCGAGCCGTCAATCCGGCACAAGGACGTTTTCCTTGCTCATGTGGGTTCAACACAGAAGCTTTTTGGGGGAAATAGGGTTTCGGGTGTATAGGTTGTAGAGGGTTACTTGAGGGGTAGGATTCGGATTTAAGGCTGTGGTTTCCTGTCCTCCTCGCTTGGCGTTGAAGGTGCTGGGTTCAGGGTTGATTACATGTGGCGTCCCTCAGAAGGACATTGGCACAGAACTGAACTGCCTAAGCTTCTCCTTCCAACTAATGCTTTGCCATGAAGTCTACCGACAAGCTTTAGACAGAAGAGTTGAGGGCGGAAACGCTACAGTGGGGCCTCAGGCGCGCGGAAGTCTACGTCTAAGATCGCCAAGGAAGCTAACCCTTGCAAGGCCGACGTGCTGTCTAGTTGGAGCCTGGCAGTCGATCAGCTCTCCGTAAACTTGAACCCCGGACCCTATAAAATCTTATGCGAAGCAGCTTTAACCCCTAAACCCTTAACCCGGCGCGACAGGTCGAAATTTTCGAGGCTCATTTCAGCCGTCCGTACTCTGCGCACGCCGCACGCCAGCACTGCCATCGGGCCGGGTTGGGGGCTGGCCTGGCTTGTGGTTTAGGGTTTAGGGTTTAGGGTTTAGGGGTTTAGGGGTTTAGGGTTTAGGGTTTAGGGTTTCGGAGGAAACTCTATTCCTTTTGGCCAGCTACTTTCCTTTATGAAGGGTTCCTCACGCAACAAAAAAATGTATTCCGAAAGCTTCCTTTAAAGGGTTCCTTTAAAGGGTTCTATAGGGGCTGCAGTGGCAGAAATCCCTACCCCAGCATTTGACGTGTAGGGCTTTGGGGTTCAGGGCTTTGGGGTTTAGTGGCCCCGAGCCTTTAGGCTTCCTGTCGTCCGCGAAAGGCCCGGATCTGCCAATCTAGGACATCTACAGGGTTTAGGGTTTAGGGTTTAGGGTTGACTATTTTACAAGTATGATTATGATTATGATGATGATTCTTATTACTATTTGTACATTAGTAGTATTCTTGTTACTATTATTATTATTATTATTATTATTACATATATATATATATATATACATGTATTATCTATACATATACATATATATATATATATATATATTGTCATGCTGGCGAGTCCTCGCAGCCGATACCGAATAGTGCACTCATCCTGGGTCCTTGCCGATAGCTTCTTGGCTTGGGCCTGAAGGGAACAGGGCTGGAAGGAGGATTGGTGGGTGCACTGCTGGCCCCCGTGTTTGCGGCATCTAGCCTGTGCGCTTGGCGTCTGTG